CACATAACTATATAAAAAAAGTCAGATGTTAATGTGACTAAACTTTTCTCTTTTAGGTAAGTTGGGATTATCAAATTAGTTTCTGTTCTGATTAATAGCAGAATAATGAGAGAGAGATTTTTGAGAAATTGGTATAACCCTTCTTGAAAGTCAAGTTTACATACAATAAGATTATTCTGCGTCTGAAAAAAGCTCAGAGGTCTTTTCTATAAGATTAGAAACTATTCATACAAAACATCATACACGCTGACCAAACAGGTTTTATAAAAAACAGGGAGGGTTTCCCTAATCTTAGAAGATTGATGAACATCATTTATACCTCAGACTCATCAACCGGAAGACTCTAAGTCTCTCTTGTTGCGTAAAAGGCTTTTGACCGCATCGAGTAGGACAATTCTTTTCTTACATTAAAATTATTAGCCCTTTAAGCTATATTTTTTATCAATAGTCTACAGAACAAACCATCGCTATACAATAACTTGCCTAATTACCCTAACCTGCCTAGTTAACCTAATTAACCTAGTTAAGCCTTTAAATGCCACTTTAAGCTGTATAGAAGTGTCTTGAAAAATATCTAGTCTAATATTATTTACTGTCATCATGGCAAATATGAAATAAATCAGTTATTAGAAATGAGTCATTAAAACTATTATGTTTAGAAATGTGTCGAAAAAATCTGCTCTCCGTTAAACAGAAACTGGGGGAAAAAATAAACGGGGGCGAATAATTCTGACTGCATATGTCAAAAGAGTTTACATTTTACATCCCTACAAAGTTTTACATCCCATTACCTCCGCATCGTGCTATTTATTTCATTAATTGAATGTGCTTGTTATGAAACGCAATCTCACCGCACTCTTTTAGAGCGCATTATTGCTTTGTATAAACGTGCATTATATTTGCCCCCGTGCAAAGTTGACGTAAACAAGGTGAACACATTTCCCACAATGCCTCCGAAAAACAGGCTCGTTTCCTGGCACGTGCACTTTTTTTCCTACGCACATTTGATCTGAAGTGTTAGTTTAACGGCCTCGCATCAGATCTGTCAATTTTAATATTAATCCTCTTTAGCCCGGAGAGAGGTGCGATGCATTATTCAGAGACAGTGACTTCATTATGGGCCAATATTCTTTCAAACGAGTTAAGGAGAGCGTCGTGAATGGAAAAGAGCGGATAAAGCATGACAGGGGACATCATTATTCAAGTGTTTAGAGCCTCATACTGTACCTCTCGCGCGCGCCTGACTCTTTAATGCGCTGGGAAAAAATTCATGATGGTGCTTTATTGAGTCTTCACCATGGGATTGAGGTGAAGCTGTGAATGAGATCTTCATACGCTGCATACACACATCTTTTTTTCTCTCTGTCTGTCTGTATACGTCTCGTGAGACTCGGATCACAGCGAGGCTTCCAATATATCATGTTGTCAAAGCTGTGATTGTTAAACACTGATGAAATGAACCACCTTTTTTTTTTTCCCCCATGTAAAACCCAGATTAGTGTATTGTCTTACACCTTGTGTCATTTGTTGCTGATTTCAGCCCTAGAGAACGTTTGTAGGCATGCTTTATTAAACGCAGCGTCATTCATTCCTGTCAGAGATGTTTCGTTTGCCTTGGGGTTCTATAATTCGTGCAAACTTTTACTCTGAGAGGACGTGAAGGATGAAGAGAAGACAGTGAAAGAGTATTTTTCAGTGCTTTCTCTCGCAAAACTTTTACGCTCTCTGGCTAAGGTAGTGCATTCCCAGAGAAGCGTTTGGGAAATCTTTATTTATTTATTTATTTATTTTATTTTATTACTTTCTTTATTAATTTTTTTGAGTACTTTTTGAGGGAACACCACTTTTTTATTTTTTTATTTTTTTATTCACATATTCACTTATTCATTTAATAATTTAATCCTTTAATAATTTATTTATTTATTTATTTTTATATCTATTTTTATATTTATTTATATTTTTATATTTATCTGTTTGTTTATTTATTTATTTGTTTGTTTGTCTATTTATTTATTAATTCATTAATCCAATCATTTATTTATTTATTTATTTATTTAATTTTATATATGGAGCAAACAGAATACTTTTGTGAGAGAGTGATTATAATTTGAGAGAAAATTTAAAGTTTGTTGAGGGCAACACAGCAGTTGTACAACAAACATATGCTAATTTTTAATGTTTGAGAATATACAAATATTATTAAAAACAAAACCTGCGTTTGATTTTGAGCTTGTTTTACAAAATTTTTTTATTCCTATTATTTTATGTTATTATTTATATTTATTATATAGACCGTCAAAATATTTGTAGTTTAGCAGTTTTTCGTATTTTGTTATTTTATGTTTTTAATTTTATGATTATTTATCACATAATGAGAACTTGCTTGAACTTGCTTGAAGTTTCTGCCAACCCGACTCTACATCATAACTTTTCAATCCAGATGGATAGGGCAACCATTACTGCATCCACAACGGTGAAAAGCCTTGGAGTAACGATTGATGACCAACTAAACTTCTCTGACCACATTTCTAGAACTGCTCGATCTTGCAGATTCACACTCTATAGCATCAGAAAGATCCGACCCTTCCTATCTGAACATGCAGCTCAACTCCTTGTTCAAGCTCTTGTTCTGTCCAGACTGGACTATTGCAACTCTCTACTTGCCGGGCTTCCAGCTAACTCTATCAAACCTCTTCAGCTGCTTCAGAACGCAGCAGCACGAGTGGTCTTTAATGAACCTAAAAGAGCACATGTCATTCCGCTACTCATCCGTTTGCACTGGCTGCCAGTTGCTGCTCGCATCAAATTCAAAGCTCTGATGTTTGCCTACAAAGCGACTTCTGGCTTCGCTCCTTCTTATCTGCTTTCACTTCTGCAGATCTATGTGCCCTCCAGAAACTTGCGTTCTGTGAATGAACGTCGCCTCGTGGTTCCATCCCAAAGAGGGAAGAAATCACTTTCCCGAACTCTCACGTTCAATCTCCCCAGATGGTGGAATGAACTCCCTAACTGCATCAGAACGACAGAGTCACTCGCTGTCTTCAAGAAACGACTAAAAACTCAGCTATTTAGTCTCCACTTCCCTTTCTAATCTGCATTTGCCTCTCTGGCTCCACTGCTAACTGTATTACAAAATAAAAAAATAAAAAATGACTAATGTTTTGCTTCTTACACTTTACATACCTGAAACTTGCCTACAGCACTTATTCATTGTTGCTCTTATAGTTGTGTAAATTGCTTACTTGTCCTCATATGTATGTCGCTTTGGATAAAAGCATCTGCTAAATGACTAAATGTAAATGTAGATATTTTTCAAGATACTAGTATTCAGCTTAAAGTGACATCTAAAGTCTTAACTAGATTAATTAGGCAACTCATCAGCTATGTTTCCATAAAAAAAACAGTTGATGGAAACACGATGATGTGCATAAATTTTAAAAATGCTCATAAAAAACGTATGCGCCTAACTGGGTAGGATAAACTTTTTATTCGATAAGAAAAGATGCGCATAAACTGCGATGGAAACACTTTTACCGCACAAACTCCAGCATGCGCATTAATAAAAAAGGTCATTAAAAAGGTCATGTGATTTTCTTAAAAGAGATCATGTGATGCTTAAAATGTGTGTGAATGGACAAAACGTCAGGCTGAGCACATTATAAAAGATCTGAAATGTTGTTTTGGTCATTATAAAACGCCTTCCCATTTCAGTATTAGTGTTATTATATTATTAATGACCTCCAGAATCGAGAGCGCCTGTGCTCCGCGTCTGACACCTTCAATCGCTACTGCGCGCCCACTGCTTGTCAGGATTGTCTTCTGAGGCGCATTCATTTAGAAAAGATTGATGCAGCTTCTCCTACTGCAGCAAATGCAGTTTTTACTGTTGATATTTGCCGCCAGTTAATCAGGAAGTGACGATTTTGTTCGCTTTGACTCGATTTTGTTCGCTTTGACTCGTTGGATGGAAACGCTGCTTCATTCGCACAACTTTTATGCGATAATCTAGTTTTGCGCATAAAGTTTATTCGCATTTTTTGATGGAAACATAGCTATTGTATAAAGATGGTTTGTTCTGTCGACAATCAAAAATATTGCTTAAGGGGGCTAATAATATTGACCTTAAAATGGTTTTTAAAAAAATTCAAAACTGCTTGCATTCTAGCCTAAATAAAACAAATAAGACTTTCTCCAGAAGAAAAAATATTATGAGAAATACTGTGAAAAATTCCGTGCTCTGCTAAACATTAAAAATATTTTAATAAAATTCACAGAAGGGTAAATAATTTTGCCTTCTTCTGTATGTGGTTTTAAAACATACCTGAAGGCTAATTTGCATCTGGGTTGTTTTGTATGGATTTGCATCCTTTTTTGCTACTATCCGCAGTCAGAGCACAAACAACAAGTTTATGGAAGATGTTTTTGTCGTCTTGTGTGTGTCCGTCTGAGTGTGACATTAAAGCGCGAGGTGTGTGAAGGATCACAGGCAGGTGCTGGTGAGGCCGGTGGCGCTGGTGGAAATGTAAACACACATGTTTACTCTTTCTCTCTCTTTTTCTGTTTGCAGTTCTGCCTGACTGCATCGCTGAGGCACCCAGGTAAGCCAGAGTTCACTACCTGCTTCACACTGTCACTTTATGGCTTTTCTGACGGCCCTACGCCAATACGTGCAGCTGCATTCATAAAAACTTAGGTCACTCTTAGAAAATAAATAGTGTTGCTTTAGATTATAATGTGTTATATGTTACATAAAATGAGCTTTACTCTTAGCAAATCTAACTTTAAATCTGGTGTTTTTAGGATTTTAAGTATGTACGAAGTGATTTTGGTTGTGAAATCATGATTAACTGATCAGTTCTAGGTGAATTAAAAAGGTTTTGTATTATTTTATTTATTATTTATAGCTGCTTTCTATTGTTTTTTGCTATTTATTTTTTAAAGAAGTATGTTGTAATTGTTTTCTATTTTGGGTGGCACAGTGGCTCAGTGGTTAGCAATGCCGCCTCACAGCAAGAAGGTTCAAGTCCCGGCCAGTTGGCATTTAATGGGTTTCCTCCTGGTACTCCGTTTCCCCCTCAAGTCCAAAGACATGCACTATAGATTTATTGGATGAACTAAATTTGCCGTAGTGTATGAGTGTGTGTGAATGAGAGAGTGTATGGGTGTTTTCCAATACTAGGTTGCGGCTGGAAGGGCATCCACTGTGTAAAACATTTGCTGGAATAGTTGGCAGTTCATTCAGCTGTGGCAAACTCTGAAATAGAGACTAAGCAAAAGAAAAATGAGGAAATGTTTTCTAATTTATGTGTGTATATATATATATATTAATTTTTAGTTACTTCTTAGTTCAGTTATATGGAGTCAATATAGGGCCTTTATTACTTGCAACTTAAAATAAACACTTGCAAACAAAAACTTAAGTATTGAGAAAAGAAATGTCAAATAAATAAAAAGGAATTTTGCAAATAAAAATAAAGAACTGAAAATAAAAATCAAGCAGTAAAAAAAAACTGAACTATTTGTAATTAATGACCCAAGGTTCCATCATGTTTTTTTGATTAAATACAGATTTTCAAAGTTGTGGTGTTCTTTTTTAATCACCTTGGATAGATAGATAGATAGATAGATAGATAGATAGATAGATAGATAGATAGATAGACAGACAGACAGACAGACAGACAGACAGACAGACAGACAGACAGACAGACAGACAGACAGACAGACAGACTTTTCTTCATTGGAGGCAGGTCCGGGTATGCCGCAGACGCCCCAGTTCCCTTGGCTCCACCCCTTGTCAAATCAGAGCCAGAAATGAAAAGCGCAGACATGTGAAGTGCAAAGAGAAAACAGT